TTCACTGACCCTCACTTTCCTGTCTATCTCTCTGAACTGTTGCTTCCTTACATCCCCACAAGACAACTACGTTCTTCCATTGACAGTAGAACCCTCTCAATCCCAAGAACCAAAACTAAGACCATCGGTGAACGCTCCTTCTACTTCCATGGGCCCACGTTCTGGAACCAGCTCCCCTTCCATATCCGTCATAGTGAAACCTCGTCCATTTTCAAAAAGTCCCTTTAAACTCATCTGTTTAGGTCCGCCGATGACCTGTGATGCACCCTCCTTGCCCTACCTCATTTTCTGTCTCGGGTTGATCCTGTAGTATAGGCCGACACGTGCCAAAGTGTCCTCGTTTTATAGCTATTTTAATTGTTTCTATAGTATAGTAGTTACTATCCTAGTGTCTCATTTTTATTTTACTTAGTTTACATGTTTTTAATAGTTGTGAAGCGCTTAGAGCTTTATGGTAAGCGCTATATAAAAATGCCTCAATAAATCAATAAATAATGTTTTTAAAATTAATTGAATAAAGATTTTTCAAAATTAGAAAATTTTAGATTACATTTTTTAAAAATTATTATTATTATTCTATATATATTTTTTTAAATATAAAAAGTGACGTCACAATTTTTTTTGCCGCCCCCCCCCCGAGCGTGACGTAATTTGCGAACGACTCCTTGTTGCAGGCGTTACTAAGAAGAAAAACAGCAAATGTGGCTTGACACCAAGTAAAAGATCTGTTCATAGTTTGGGAACTGCTGGACTGGCCACATCTAATTTTTGTCTGACTCCATGTTACATCCTCTCTTATGGAAATATCGTTTTTAATGTTATTGGCATGGAGACTGGAATAAGCTAAACTTACTTTGGGGTTGCCGTGTGTTTGTCTGTGGCTGTAGTTCTAAGTTCTAATGTTGTCCAAGGCCTGTTTGGCTACAGCATTGGATTATCTTTACTTTAGGATTATATAATCTTATCATCATTGAGACTATATTATCATCTTTGAGACAATCTTATCATCATTGAGACTATATTATCATATTTGAGACAATCTAATCATCTTTGAGACAATCTTATCATCTTGGTTCAGTCATACTAATTAAGTTAATGGTATAGAATATTCGGCCCGCGAGCCGCATGCGGCCCGCCAGCACCCACTTGGCGTCCCGCGAAGTAACGAAATTTTCTTTATTATTGTTATTTTCATAATAGCTTTACCCCCTGTCCTATTTTCTTTCGGCCAGCATAAGTTTTTTCATAAAGTATTACGGCCCGCCTTACATTTTGAGTTGTGCAGGCCTGGTATAGATCTAATGAGGCATTCAAACATATTTGCAAAATTTAAAACCCAGACTAGTAATGACGTTGGTTTCATCTGTAACTTTGGTCTGAAACATGAAAGGGGAGTTCAGAAATTGTCACTTTTGAAACCCGTCAAATGAATGCCAATAGAACCAAACTTTACAGTTCACCATTAGTCTTCCTTAATTAACATTGGATTGACTGCTACTAGTTGGATTGACTGCTACCATGGGCGCCCGAAGGGGGGGGGGCAAGGGGGGCACTTGCCCCCCTTGGATTGATTGGATAACATTTTTTTAGACAAAAATAGACAAAAAATGTATTAAAGTAAAGAGAAAATAAAGAGAAAGTAACTAAGCTGATGACCTGTCCGTTCGTTCACCATACAAATACGCTACAGTAAATTGAAACTACATTAAAACATTACTAAACATTTTTTGCCCCCCCCCCGGAAGTTAATCGATTTTTTCGCCCCCCCCATAAATTCAAACTCCATTAAAACATTACTAAACCTTTTTTGCCCCCCCCCCGGAAGTTAATCGATTTTTTCCCCCCCCCCCCCCCTAGAAAGTTATCTGCGGGCGCCCATGACTGCTACTGATACTACCGGTAAAACAGCATCGTGACCTGCTGATTGGTAGGTGATTCGGCTCAAAGGAGCCAACAGTTACTGGGCCAAAGAGCACAGTCCATCAGACCGTCCCACTGGTTATCATCATTAATTAGCAGTGGAGAATACATTATGTCCCTTCAAGTTGGACTGTGTATCTCAATGTACTCTCCCCCACCCCCACCCCAATGACGCTTGTTTGGCTTATGTAAACGCACCAGCTTTCATTACGCCTGTGTCCAAGCTTTGCATGTGTTTTGCGGCCCAGATTCCTAAGTTTGCGCTTTCAACGGTTTCTCTGTGTTGTTGCTTTGAGTGTAAGGAATGGCTGAGTTGCATCCTGTGTACAATTATCAGCCAGTGATATTTTAGTCGTAATCTACTCCTGCATGCTGCACGTTGTTGACATTCTCCATTGTGTACTGTGTACGCAGACTTAGAACGTGATAATCTATTTAGTTGACCAAAGGTGAAAACGTAGAAACGCCTATGACATCATAAATATGACCATAAACATGTATCAAGGTAATAAATAATATGTTTTCATTTATTAAATATGTAGGTAAATATCTAGTTGTGGTTAAATCGACAACGTACCTAAGTCCTAACCACAATACTAATATTAATCTTATATATTTTTGTTATCTAATACCATATTGTTAATCTAAAAGCGAATTGATAAACTAATACCATATTGTTTAACATTTGGTTATGTCACACTCTGAAATGATTAATTTAAGTTGAGGAGAGTTGGTTAACAACAACAAAATGAAGCCCATGCAGTAGGGGAGTTTGTACGATAAATTTAGACTGCATACGAACATCTTTAGAGAAACATGCAGATATGTGTCTCTTTCTGTGACAAAGTCTTTCATCTCTAGACCAGTGTTTCTCAAACAGTGTTATCTATCACTGATAATCTGGACAGCGGTCACTTTACTCAATTATTCTTATCACCAGATTTGTGTAAAAACTTCAATCAGACATAGGCATATATTGAACCATAAAAATGTGTATACAAAAATGCCCAAGTTATTTTGACCGCTTGGTAGTCCAACGAAACTATCGTTTAAAGCAAGATGACCCTGGGAATCGTTTCCTCTAGTCACCAAACTGGACATGGTCAAAACGATCTCAAAATAGAGAGATATTTTGTTGAATAAGAAAGAAATTTAACGGTCTTCGACTTTTCCATTATTTAAAAAACATTCGATGAATTGTGTCCCTGGCCTCGAAGTCATTCATGCAAGCAAAAGACGAAGGCCGTTTTAAAAAAAAGTCTTGAGCAGGTGTAGAGATGCTGTTTGAGAAACATTGATTTGTTCAACATAAAGCTATCTCTTTATCTGATCTGTTCGCGTGGATAGAATCAACGGATTGTTGTACAAATAAAAGTACATACATACTTGATAAAGATTACTTTATTAAAAAAAACATTATTATTTTTTTTTGGAAAAATAATTTTTCTTAGCAAACGCTCCATTTTAAACCAACTATTCAGTGATCCTGTTCATATTAAGCTGAACTTTTCTCCTATACATCATTAATTAACATTTGATTTAAATTAAATAATGCATTACAGAAATAAATAAAAAAATACTTTCAAATTTATATTATTTATCAGAACGTAATTTAATTAAATTACATGATCTATTATCAGCATGTTAAAAAGTCAGAGACATAACTGTTTTGTTATATATATTTGTTATAATTCACCACTTTCTGAACTTATTTGTTTGCTGTTGTGTATGTGTTTGCCGTTTCCGTATTAACCCCTCTAATTTCACTGCATGCTAATGACAGCTTCACCTCCTTTTCACCCCCTCCCTCTACCCCGCACCCAACATTTGCACAGCAAAATCTGATTCAAACTAAGGACCCTTCACCACTCAAAAGGCGAAACTCGGTCAAAGGGCCCCACCCCGCCATCAACACCTCCGTGAAATCCACCATCATTCAGAGAAGCAGGTCCCTCCATTCTGTCAATCAGCCCGATGAAAGCCCCGAGCCATCTCCACCACAGCCGCAAGCAACAGCCACCGGTGAGCTCGACCGTGCGGCACCACACAAACCGATCATAATGCACACGACGTTCAAAAGCAACAGCGTGAAACCGAACCCGATCCAAACCAATACCATTACTACCAATACCAATACCAGCAATACCAATGCCAGCAACAAGTCAAACCAGATTAAGAGCGAGTGCGTGTTGCGTCAGTTTGGTTTGGGCGTCACAGTTCAGGGAGACAAACCCACGGGGGATAACAACCCCTTGTCCGTGACAAGCATGCGGGAGAGAACTGTGAACGGGGAGCTGACCTCCAGTGGTGGTGGTGGTGGCGGTGGTGGCGGCGGCGGCGGTGGCTCTCAGCAAGTTGGTCTCGATGGGATGTCGTCGGGGGGTTTGTATGTCAAACGAAAACCTGGCCACCAAACACGCGTGACCACCACAACAAACGTCAGCTCCAGCAGTTTCCTCCCGGTGTTTCAACATTCTGTCAGTGCTTCTTTAGCCGCCTCGCCCTCCCCTCCCTCCCCCTCCCCATCCTTAGCGCCACCTTCTTTCTCTCAGCACGCACCCTCTGTTGGTTCAGGCGAACCCCATGTTGTAACATCCAAACCGCCTGGTCCGGTCTCGGCCAATTCTACCGCCCCTCTTCCCAAACCGCTGGAGGGCGCTAACACAGGTTTAAGTAAGTCTCAAATGATCGCAGCCGACCCCCTGCCGCAAAGAGAATTCCGCGGCCTCCCCAGTGTGAGACTGCTGGCCAAAACGTTCGGCAGCAGCACGGCGTTGAACACGAGCCCGAACCTCAGCACAGGGCCACGCCTGAGTGCCAGCCACACGATTCACTTTAATAGTAGGCCTCTTGTGCGGTCACACAGCAGTCTATCCATTTCCGACTCCGCAAAGCACACCTCATCCAACATTGTCCATCTCACTAAGGGCAACACCACGGCCGTCGGCCCAGACAAGCCACCGGAACCAACCGTCGTCGTCAACGGTATGCCCCAGCGTCAGCTCGCCAACAGACCCGCGGAGCCCGCCAACCGCCAGTCGACGGCAAAGATACACGTCTCTAACAGCGGGCCCAGTGAGCTGGAGTTGGCGCGAGCTCGACTCAAAACGAGTAGAACTATACGGGAGACAACCACCAACCGACTCGCTGACACTAAAACCAACGCTGATTCTCCGGTTATCTCCCTCGCGACGTCACGACCTCCCAGTGGCGATCACGCGAAAGGAGAATATTCAGAGGAAGACTCTCGACCGGTGTCCTACGTCAAAAAGAAAGATGTGGCCCCTGGACAGCCCGGCCTCACCCCCAACACTGCACCTGTGGCCGTTACCCTGACAACGAACACCACTTCAAAGGTAGGGTCCAGCAGCGTGACGGCCGGGCCTGTGACACATAACAATGAGCCAAGGCGATGGCTGTCCTCATCTAACAGATTCAACTCGGCGTCGTCATCATCATCTTCTTCTTCAGCCCAACCCGAAAAGGCCACACCCGCAGCCCACACGCCAACTCCACACTCCAATGCCGAGGACGGAAACAGATACACGGCAAAGACATTACCAGCCCAAGGGTCCACGGCAAAAACATTGCCAGCCCAAGGGTCCAGCAGAAACGAGCGGGTGGTCTCCACGGCCACGCTCAACATGAGACGGAGCAAGTCTCGGGAGGAGCTGCAGGACACCGGCGGCCCACCGTTCGGCAAGGAATCCCTCCTCCAACAGATACAGGCCAGAAGGAGGGATGACTACGACAGCGGCGTCGTCCGAGGGAGTAACTTCGTGTCCATGTCCAAGCTGTCGCTGTCCATGCCGTCCCTTCTTCACGATGGTGAGTACATTTGTATATAGCAATCCTTCTCTGTGTTTCCTCTTACTAACAAATACCACCCATGCCCTCTTTCCCCAAACTGTTGATCAATAACCATAGTTTTTTAAAAACTTTGATAATATCTTGTTCTGTATTATACAAATTAAAACCAAAAAAAAAAAAAAAAAAAAAAAAAAAAAAAAAAAAAAAAAAAAAAAAAAAAAAAAAAAAAAAAAAAAAAAAAAAAAAAAAAAAAAAAAATAACCATAGTTTTTTAAAAACTTTGATAATATCTTGTTCTGTATTATACAAATTAACACCAAAAAAAAAAAAAAAACAACAACAAAACAAACAACTAATTGAAAACAACAAACTAAAAAACAAAAAAACAAAAACAAGAAACAAAAAATATTTTTAAAAACATAAGGAAAAGATACAGACAAATACAAAACTCTTATAATGTTTTAACCAAAAAATACCAACAACAAAAGAACAACACAAATTTAATTTTTATTTGACAACTGTATGTTGAATGTTTCTTTAGAATCAATTACATCCATCAGTGAGTGATCATTGTTGCTATTATTTCGATGACTGCTCCATTCTTGCTGATACCTAAACTAAGATTGCAAAGACATTGGAGCAGATGTGATTTGTGTGCTACATATGTTTCATTTGAAATAATTTGAATTGATTGGGGCAAATAAACCTACCAAAACAAAAACAAACAAACAAACACAAAACGACAAAAGCTAAGACATTTCAAAAAGACACATCCTTATAAGTCACTATAATGTTACTCTTTGAAAGAAAAGTCTTTATTTCTGAAACACCACCAGCCATACATGCTGACCTGTGGGGTAAGAAAACTGTACAAAAGCCCCCCCCCCCCCCCCNTAGGTGATATACTTTTGCCATTCACCCCAATGATTTCAACAGATATGCCATTTGAATTCAAACGCCTACAGTTTCCGATGCGACACGCGTCTACAATGACTATCTACAAAGCACAGGGACAATCGCTACAAGTTTGCGGACTAAATTTGGAAAACCCATGCTTCGCCCATGGACAGATGTATGTGGCCTGCTCTTGCGTCGGAAAATCTTCTGATTTATTCGTGTATATACCAGATGGAAAAACAAGAAAAACTTTGAGTATTTAAAAGCTCTTGAAGAAACATAACATGCAAACACTTTCTTTCCTTGAGTGGCATTGCAACGCTTGCCGGGTACTCGCTAGTAGATTATATTTGTTTTAATGTTTTCAACAAAAAAAAAAACATGTTGCAACCTAGTTTTCTTCAATTGCTGCATTGATGATATTCATTTTGATTTATCATTATCATGCTCATCAATATTGTCACATGCAAAGGTGAATACTATTGAATAATCTTAGGGAATGGTAATATTTCCATGATTATTATTGTTTTATTTTTAAAAACAATAAAAAAAATTAAGGAGACTTCGGGTTTTTCACTTCCTTCATTTCTTGAAACTCATCATAATCACGTCCATAAACATTGGTATTAACAAAATACCACGCGTGTGTATGTATCACGGGTTCGTATTATAATTATGTAGTAGACCTACTGTAGACCTGTTTAGTTCTATGATTTTGGTGACCAATTTAGATGTCTTATGCGATTCTCCGTCGAGATCCGTCAGTCAGAACAACAATTTTAAAAGACCCGGTTTAAAAAAATCCCCCCCCCCCCCCACCAAAAAAAAAAAAAAACCAAAAAAAAAACCACAGTAGAAAAATGTCCCTACCAAACAACTGTCCAGTTACAACAGCATGAAAACCCGAACCAATCAAATGATTCTTAACAAAACAAAGTACCGGTATTATTTGGCAGTTATTGATCATGTTATGATCAATGTTTTCATTGCGTTGACAGTCTCAATAGGGCCTAATTGTCATGAATAACCTCTCCAGCACCGCATGCTCATTTTGGAGTTTTGTTGAAAAGATGCCATTTCATTTCTGGAGTCTTAGGATTTAGTTCATTCATCAACTATATAGAAAAGACAGGGAAGTCAGTGATATTGAATTAAAAGGGTGGGGGGGGGGGGCTTTTGGTAAAGACTTTCTCAGCAGGAAACACGTGATGGAGCTCTGAACTCATCCTCTTTGGGGCAAGCATTTCCTTTCCAATAATGCATCAGGCACACCCAGGTACAGCAGTAAAGTGTTTGGAAGAAAGCATCTCCAGTTGTAACAGCTGTTATGCTAATTACTGGAAGAGCTCCACATCTTACCGCTCCACCTCACCATTTGGCGTAATTTATTTAAGGATTACAAAATGGAAAGCAAGCAACTCTCGCCAATCTCATTTATAAACTGGAGAGGTGGGGGGGGGACCATGCGCAATTTAGCCCAATGTCATCTGCCAGTCCTATGGCATGTGGTGTACAGTTGAACTTTGAAACACACTTTGATCTGTTTTGATCAAGTCATCTTTGTTGTGAAGTTTGAAGTGTTGTTTTTATGTACGTCATTAGGATCACGTGATGATATCAAGGAGGATAGAATAAAGAGCCATGGGTGACACCCTCACGGGAGGGGTGGAGCGCTGAGGCCAAGAGGAGTTTTTAACATGCCATTTCCTTAACAAAATTCAGTTAAATACAAGAACAGGGTGCCTTCAGAACCAAGTGCTACATCAACAGTGTACCACCAGATCAGGGTGACACCAGATCAGCGTGACACCAGAGCAAGGTGTCATCAGAGCAAGGTGTCATCAGAGCAAGGTGTCATCAGAGCAAGGTGTCATCAGAGCAAGGTGTCACTAGATCAGGGTGTCACCAGAGCACACTCGGAGAAGGTTCATGGGGAAGTCCGGAGGGGTTGAATACAATTGCAGAAGGGAGGGGGCAGTTAAACACACCGGACAGTTTTGCAAAGAAGAAAACAAGATGGCGAAGCTTGAGGGCATTGGTCGTTCTCATTGTGAACTCCAGACCAGATCAAGAGACATCAAGGGAGTGGCAGACATGTTTGCTCTGTTCAAGCCGAACACCAGATCAGATCAAGAGACATCAAGGGAGTGGCAGACATGTTTGCTCTGTTCAAGCCGAACACCAGATCAGATCAAGAGACATCAAGGGAGTAGCAGACATGTTTGCTCTGTTCAAGCCGAACACCAGATCAGATCAAGAGACATCAAGGGAGTAGCAGACATGTTTGCTCTGTTCAAGCCGAACACCAGATCAGATCAAGAGACATCAAGGGAGTAGCAGACATGTTTGCTCTGTTCAAGCCGAACACCAGATCAGATCAAGAGACATCAAGGGAGTAGCAGACATGTTTGCTCTGTTCAAGCCGAACACCAGATCAGATCAAGAGACATCAAGGGAGTAGCAGACATGTTTGCTCTGTTCAAGCCGAACACCAGATCAGATCAAGAGACATCAAGGGAGTAGCAGACATGTTTGCTCTGTTCAAGCCGAACACCAGATCAGATCANCCCCCCCTTTTTTTTTTTCTTCCGAACTCTGTTTTCGGAAGATGGTTAAATATATCCTTTGACTTTGATTAGTTTTAGAGCTATTTCTGTGTGGGCATGTCGTGTCACCAACCGGCAATACATATCATAGAATTGATAGGTGGTCAAGAATGCCAAATCTCATTACCTACCATGCCTGAAATCTCACATTGAGAGTAAATACTTCAAATCATTTTTTAACGTTTCTGTTTGTATTTATTTCTTATGTCCAATAGTGATACTATCATCATAAACATTACTTATACTTACATCAAAGAATACTTATGTAATGAGGGTTAAATTGCTTCCATTTCGGACAGATCGATTAAACAAGCCCTAAAAAAAGTCTTTCTGTGTATAAATCCTTTGTACCCAGTTTTGATTATTTTGATACCAATATTCTCATTTACCAACCGCGTTTACACCCCCAAGATTGATTTCACCAACTATTTCAGAACAACAAAAGAAAAGATTATGCACCAAATGCACTTGCGATATTTAAAAAAAAAAACCAAAAGAATCGCAGTTTTTGGGAATTTTAATTTGTGAAATCAGAGCCATCATATTGCCCTCATCCTGCCATTGGAAAACAGGAAAACTGATTTTTGTTGTTGTTTGTTTGTTTTGTTTTTTTTTGGGTGGGGGGGGGGGCTGAAAATTTGATAGAATGTGTTTTCTTCGGCAACGAGTCTACGTACTAAGTTTCAGCTTGATAGGTTGACGGGAAGTGGGTCAATTAGCCGTCCGAAGATTTTGCCATCCAGCCAACCACCCACGAACAAAAACGAAGTTAATGTAAAGGGTTTTTAATAAACAATACAGTTCCTGTTTTTTAGAAATAGGTCGAGTGCAGGGGTTTCGTTGGCGCGGCTGTTGAACACATTCGCACGCTGCTCTTTTGGAGCATTGGATAGTGTGCCCTACTGAATTCAGTGTTGGTTACATGGT